GCTGTCAAAAAAATGTTCGAATGTTAGTCGAATTTAAAATAAAAATCCACATTCAAATGCAAAAGCTTTGCATTCGAATTTTAGTTGTGCGTTAAGGAGGCAGCCTTATTATCAGGTGCACGAGATGCGATGACGATGCTCCTCACAGTAGGCAACCGTGACAGAAGAACCGACTGATAAACGTATTTGCCCCGTTTTATTTCCGTTTTTCTTTCAGTGTTTTTTGTTTCCCGTTGTTCCCTCATGAATGCCCTCCTTCGCCCAGAATTTCTCGCTCGAGGACCATACGAGACTGTTCCAGCTGCTAGCAAGCACCACCAGCTACCCGGACGACATGCTCTGTACGTTCTACGATGCCAGTCTAAACATCGTGCAGTGCAGAGCGCCGTCGTCCAAAGATGGTCCTCGAGCAGATTTCACCGCCTTTGTGGAGTGGATACTGGCGAGAAACGGATCCCTGCTCACAGTCAGTTTTGAGGAGAATCTCGCCAGTACCACTCCCGACCCAGAGCCCAGCCCACCATCTCCCCGTGATGCGGAGCATCAGCCCGAGCCCACCGTTGACGGAGAGCCATTTCCCGCAGCGATGAGCGAGCCAGCGCAAAGCCGAGCGACTGAGCAGAGGATCGCCCCGGACGTAGAGCGGAACCCGTCAGACCAGGTGTGAGAGCCGGCGACAATGCCCGCCACGAGGGAGAAAGCCGCGGACGGTGTGAGCGTGGAGAGGAGCTCCGCCCCCTGCACCGCGGCTGAGGGTGAGCTGAGTATGGCGCGGCGAATGTGCCAAAGCGAAGAGGAGAGGGATCCAGTCCAGAGCGCCCTCCGGTGCCTGCTCCTAGAAAGTGCCCTCCAGTGCCCACTCCTCGAAAGCGCCCTCCAGTGCCCGCTCCTCGAAAGCGCCCTCTAGTGCTCGCTTCTCAAAAGCAACCTCCAGTGCCCGCTCCACGAAAGCGCCCTCCAGTGCCCGCTCCTCGAAAGCGCCCTCCAGTGCCCGCTCCTCGAAAGCGCCCTCCAGTGCCCGCTCCTCGAAAGCGCCCTCCAGTGCCCGCTCCTCAAAAGCGCCCTCCAGAGCCCGTTCCTCGAACTTGGCCTCCAGAGCGCCTCCAGAACAGAACCTTATTTGGTTCTGTTCCTGTTCTCATTTAGTTAATCCTCGTTCATTCGGATCACCTGTGTTGTATTAATCATCTCGTTTGCTCATCGACTGAGCAGAGGATCGCCCCGGACGTAGAGCTGAACCTGTCAGACCAGGTGCGAGAGCCAGCGACAATGCCCGCCACGAGTGAAAAAGCCGTGGACGGTGTGAGCACTTTCGAGGAGCTCCGCCCCCTGCACCGCGGCTGAGGGTGAGCTGAGTATGGCGCGGCGAATGTGCCAAAGCGAAGAGGAGAGGGATCCAGTCCAGAGCGCCCTCCGGTGCCTGCTCCTAGAAAGTGCCCTCCAGTGCCCACTCCTCGAAAGCGCCCTCCAGTGCCCGCTCCTCGAAAGCGCCCTCCAGTGCCCGCTCCTCAAAAGCGCCCTCCAGAGCCCGTTCCTCGAACTTGGCCTCCAGAGCGCCTCCAGAACAGAACCTTATTTGGTTCTGTTCCTGTTCTCATTTAGTTAATCCTCGTTCATTCGGATCACCTGTGTTGTATTAATCATCTCGTTTGCTCATAGCGTCCTCCAGTGCCCGCTCCTCGAAAGTGCCCTCCAGTGCCCGCTCTTCGAAAGCGCCCTCAAGTGTCCACTCCTCGAAAGCGCCCTCAAGTGTCCGCTCCTCCAGAGCACCATCCTGTTCCCATTTTCAGTCTAGAGGGGGCTTCCGATCCAGAGTTAAGCCCTGAATGCCTGGAGACTCACAAATAACCGCCCTCCCACCCGCTCCAGCCTCCTCCACCGCTGTCGTCGGGCAGCCCCTTTGCTCGCCCTCAGCCCACCATCAATACGGTGCGAGCTCCGCGGGTCTGCCATCCTCCATAGTCGCCGTGGCTGGAGCATCCCTCACCTCCGCCTCCAGCCTCCGAGGCCCGGACTCTGCCTCGGCCTGTAGACCCAGTGGCTCCACCTCGGCTACTAGCTCCCTCGCCTCCACCGTCCCCCATCAATC